GTTTGTGAGATTCCAAAGAGATTTCAAAAGGTAGTGTCATAAGTTCCCATGATGCAGATCCTTTGACCTCAGTTTGTAGGTCATCGTTTGCAATGTTCCCATGTGAAAAATTTGGTTACTTTATTAAGAAAGAAATGAAACTGGAAACAAGTTAGCTAAATTGTTACTGGTTTAGTTAATAATGGTAGGGCAAGATGGGCTTGTTTGGTTATAGCTTGTGAGGTTGAAAAATATATTTTAGGAAATTATCAGTTTACCTAGAACATTCTAATGTAACTGCAAAAATATTTTAAGCGGGTATTAATTACTTTCTTCTAGTTATAATAATCAAAAAAAGTTTACACAAACGCACACACACACCTTATCCCTTTTAGAATTGCTGTGAGAATTTATAGGCAAAGCTTGAGTGGAGTCCAGGATGTGTAATTTGAGGCCTATCACTTAGCCAGCCCTGCTTCGTGTCTGATTCTCCTCTGTAAAATGGGAGAATGCCTTCTGCTCATTTCACTGAGTAATGAAGATCAAATGAGGTCACCTCCGTGAAAGCGCTTTATAAACTGATAAAGCATGGAGCTTACATAATGCTTGTTCCCATTCATCTGTCAGACGTGCCTCTTTCTGTTTGTTAGGCTGCTGGTGAGGGTAGCATGACAGGCGGAATTACCTCTGTAATGTGTGCTGCCTGTTAGGATTAAGTATTTGTTTTATACTTGCTTTAGGGACTGGATAGTTTTGCCTTGTTGCTTTTTTCATTCTTTTTTTAAAAAAAAGTAATGCACATTCATTGTAGAGAGGTTAGACAATATAAGTCAACGTAAAGAAAACTTGGCTGTCTAAATGCAAAACGATATTTTGCGTAATTTTAAAGTAAGAATTCAGTCATGTTTAGCATAATGTTTCTTGTTTTTGTCACTTATAATACAGTTTATCATTCCATATACTTAATTTCCATAATATTTAAATGGCTAGATGATATAACCTGTCCTTAACTAGTTATAATTTTATTTTGATCAATAAAATGATTAGTTCTAAGGTTTTGCTATTGGAAACATGTAAAGAGTGAATATCCTTAGGGGCAAGTATTAGTTTTTACCCTTCATGTGGGTAGTCATCCTTAGTCCTGGGCCTTCCTGGCCTGTGCAGGAGGTCATGAGGGCACAGTACGCTGCCCTCCTGGGATACTGGAGGGGACTTGGCAAACTGAGACCTTGCATTGACCTGATGGCTGACAGGACTGGGCGTCTATATCCTGTTTTCCTCTGCTTGCAAGGTCCTCCTCACCTTGTAGCGGGGGAAATGAGGTAATCAATGTCCGGTGAGGCTCGCAGGTTACTCTCATCAGGAAAGATTGTACCTTTAAGTAGATTGGTGGTTGTGAGGGGTGGGAGGGACCAGTTAGGTTGCTGTTAATAGTGACCTGGGTCTGTGGAAGCCTCACTGTTCGCCTCAGCGAGGGGATCGAGTCGGAGGCTGACTCCTGGTCGTCTCCCTTCTCTGGTGGTCTTTGCTGGGCCTCTGTCACCTCCTCTTGGGATCTTCCAGGAGGACTGCGGAGAGCAGCCTCAGTTGGTGCCTAGGCAGGGACCCCTGGCTCGCCAGGTGAAGTCCCGCTGGTTGGCCCACCTTATCCCTTTGGGACTGCGGAATTTGCCCTCCTGTTTCCACCCTTGTCTTGTGCTCCTGTGTTCTGTCCGCTTCCTCTCCCCTTTGGTTCCTAATTCTCGTGGCTCTGCTCCTTTCATTAGGCCTAGGCGCTGTGGCACCTGGGACCTTAGGTGCGGTATTCGCCCTGCTCTTTCTCCTCTCTGCTCTGGTGGGCCTGTGAAGGGCCGTCCTGTAATGGGGCAGTAAGCGTCTAGGGAGCCTCGCCTCCAGCTGCTCAGCTGCCTTGCCTTGCGGCAGGAGGAAGTGGAGCTTTGGGCAGGCAGCAGCAGAGGTTCGCTCCTGGCTGGAAGCCGCTGTCTTCTCCCGTTATGTGGGAGTCCGCTGCCGCCACCGCACCGCTCATGGAGACTGATACTGGTAAGCCACTCCCGCTACAGTTTTCCCAGATGTCACCATTGTCCTACAGTGTCTAGGTCCCTACTTTGGGGGGTGTCCTCCCGCCTTTTCCCCACCCCCAGTCACCTCAGAAACCTTCCTAGAGGTGTTTTATGGTGGCAGCCGACACTGGGAATCCTCGGGCAACTCTTCTGATTCCGAAAGCGATACCACACCAGACACGGCACCTCTGCCACCGGGGTCCTGACCCCTGGATTCTCTGGCACCACCGTATGGCTGGTCTTTGATGGGCTGGCCTTTCCACCCGGGCTTTCCCACCTCAGCTTCCCTCCTGCTGATACCCCAAGCCGGACTTGGCATTGGTGGAGATTTACGCTCCAGTTTTGAAGCTTTTTAGAAGCCTCAGCCCCCAGCACCTAGAGGGAGGTAGCCACCTGCTCTATTTGCAGAGATATTCCCCTGCCCCCAGTGTCGGGTCTGGTGTTTGGTGGAAAGCCTCGGGCCGTGGGACCCCAGGGCTCTTGGCCTCCTGATGATCCCTATCATTTTCACTATTGCTTCTGTGGCCCTAACCCAGTCTTTTAAAACTACAGAAACTGTCAGCAGTTTAGCCCAACAGATTTTGACCCTTGATTCCACCTGTGTGTGTGTACTAACATTCATCACCTTTTACCCCGGGTTGGTTTGATTGCCGAGGGGGACTTAAGTCCTGGTTTCACCCTTACGCTCTTATCACCGTTGTAATTGCCATCTGTGGATTTCTGACTGCTATGCTGGGTTGAGCGTTTCCTCCATTGCGCAGGCAGAAAAAAAGACTGCCCTTGTAACAGAGGTTTCAGTTGCAGACCTTCAGTTTAATACGGAGGGGGAAGATGTGGGTAGATGTCTGTGGATCTGGGCTTTCCAGGCTTATGCTGGAGGTCACAAGGGCACAGCACATTGCCCCCGGGAACCTGCAGGGCCTTGGCAACCTGAGACTGCGCTTTGACCTGATGGCCTACAGGTGGTCAGGGACTAGACATACATATCCTGTTTTCCCCCTTGCAAGGTCCTCACCTTGCAGTGGAGGAAATGAGGGTACCAGTTAGGGACCTCTGAGGTCAGGTCAGGCTGGCAGGTTGCTCTCATGAGGAAAAATTGTATCTGAAACTGACCTTTAGGTTGATTGGTGGCTATGGGAGGTGGGAGGGACCAATTAGGTTGCTGTTAGTGCTGTGGCCCTAAATGAGCTTCACTGTTAGCCTCAATAAGGAGATCCGATTGGCTTGGTCGTCTCCTTTCTCTGGTGGTCTTCGCTGGGCCTGTATCGCCTCATCTTGGGATCTTCCAGGAGGACTGCTGAAAGCAGCCTCACCTTCATGATTGCTTTTCTTTGAGTAAAGGAAATCCTAGGCTTCCAACTGTTACACTAAAGAAAATGTAATATTCTCAGGCATTTGAAGGCGTTTTTGTTTTATAACCTGATTGAGTTACAGTTGATAGATGCTCATATTTAAGATGTATAGTTTAGTATAGTTTGATATAACTGTATCTGCGAAACCATCACTACAGTTAGTGCAAATGGAATCACCACAGTTGGAATCTAATAAATGCTTCATCTTTTTTTTTTTTTTGGACTCAGGATAATTTCAAAATATATTCATGTTTATTATTGCATGTATCAATAGCATATTCTGCTTTATTAGCAAATAGCAAAATTATATTGTATTGATATACCATAATTCTTTTACCTCTTGGTGGGCACTGAGCTTTTTACTAGATTTTGCCTCTTTTCATCAAAGATTTATTTTTGGACCCGGTGCGGTGGCCTAGTGGTTAAAGTCCTCGCCTTGAATGCGACAGGATCCTGTATAGTCGTATAGTCGCCAGTTCTAATCCCAGCAACTCCACTTCCCATCCAACTCCCTGCTTGTGGCCTGGGAAAGCAGTCAAGGGTGGCCCAAAACCTTGGGACCCTTCCACCCGCGTGGGAGACTTGGAAGAGGTGCCTGGTTCCTGGGTTTGGATTGGCACAGCACAGGCCATTGCGGCCACTTGGGGAGTGAACCATTGGATGGAAGATCTTCCTCTCTGTACATCTGCCTTTCCAATAAAAATAAATAAATCTTTAAGAGTCTCATGCTCTACCGACTGAGCTAGCCATGCCCTAATAAATAAATCTTTAAAAAAAAAAGAATTATTTTTGTTAGAAAGGCAGAGTTACAGAGAGAGGAAGAGAGACAGATATCTTCTACCCATTGGTATACTCGCCCAAATGATTGTAATGGCTGGAACTGGGCTAGTTTGATGCCAGGAGCCAAGAGTTCTTCCAGATATCCCATATGGGTGTAGTGGCCCAAGGACTGTTGCTTTCCCAGACCATCACAGGAAAATCTTAGAATTGTGATAGCCATGACTCGAAGCAGTACCCATAATGGAATGCCTGCGACAAGGTAGAGGCTTAGCATGCTATATCGTTGTGCTGCCTCATACTTTTTGGCTACTAAAAGCAAATTATCTTTGGATATTGGTATGTAAATAACTTTATGGGAATGAGGCATTTCGTATTATCAGATTTTATGCTGGCAAGCCCATGTCTGTATTGCAAAACTGAGGAAGTTTAAGAGAAACTTTAGGGTTTTTGTTTGTTTGTTTTTGTTATACTTTATGGGAGATTAGACTTGTTGGGTTGTAATTTAATGGAGTATAATCTAACAGAACACTCTTAAAAGGAGAAATTAACGAAGGCTGAGACGCACATCATAGCAACTATGTCTTTTTCATAGTTTGCTTTGTTGGAGCATCTACTTTAATCAGTGAAGTATGTATTATCTGGAACGTAAGAATCTGCTGCCCCTTTAACAAGTACTTTCATAAATTCTTTTAAATTTCTGGCAAATAACTACTTCTGCATTAAAATTGAACAGGTAAAGGCACTTGGGTGAGTTTACTGAGCTTAGAAAAGATTCTAGGATCTATTTTGGAATAGATGGCAAAACCTTGTTTTCCTTTTCTTGAAGATGTACACTGACTGAATCAGGCCCTGGGAATCTGAAGACCCCAGTGACGTCACAGCTACCTTTCCGCAGCCCTCTCCGTTTCCTTTCACAGGAGGCGGAGGCTTACACCTCGGTGAGCATGCTCTCCTTGATTTCATCAGGTTTAATTGTGATTTTAATGCATTTCTGAAAATTCTTAATTATAAATTGGCTTGGAATCATCAATCCTTGCATTATGGACTTTCATCTATGGGAATTATTTCATTAGACTTTGGGTTAAAAAATGAGTAAAATAGGCCTATTTCAAAAAACTTGCATAGAATAAATGTAGGTAAATAAATGCAAATAGTAAGATTTAAATTCTCTGAGAAGAAAATAGCAAACATTCTTTAGAGTTCAGTGTGTGAATTACTTCTGTTTGGCGAGACTGGGAATCTTAAAAGAATTGTATTGATGATACTTCTTTTAACTAGAATTCAGAGAAATGGATAGATAATGCAAAATATGAGATAGCAGCATAATTTCAGGTAGAAATTAATTATATAATATTTTGAGAGAAACAGAAGGATGTTTGATCATTGTGAGTTTATTATGATATGGGTCTGATTATTTCTGGAATTATGTGACATGATTACCTCTTTCAAGGCCAAGGGTTGATTAGCATTTCTGAGAAATGATACAGTAATTGGATTTAGTGAACCAGTAGGTGGGCAGTACAAGGATAGAGCTGAGTGACGGCTTAATTCTCTGTGGATCAGCACTCCTCTTTTCTAGTCTACGTGAATTTGTCCTGTTTTAGGCTCTTGGACACTATGCTGTTTGTTTCTGAGCAGAAGCAATCCAAGTGAAGAGGGAATAGGCACAGTGACGGGTTATTGCTCTCATAATTAATTTTAGATAGTTAGTTGAAATTCTGATCAGATTAGAGAGCAGGTACAGAATCCTGAAATGATTGGCACTCTGATTTACCAGAATGCTTCACAAAAGAGTTGGAAACTGAGCCAACTTTGCATGTCACCTTCGAATATAACCGAAATAGCTCAAGTAAAGTTAATAATGGGATTGTTTTAATTACTCCACCTAAATGATCATCTTTTCTTGTAGTTTCAGCAAGCAAAATCTCTGAAACTTAATGTTTTAAAAAGTTGTATGAAAAATTATTTAATTTTTTGGTTGCTAAATGTTTTTTTTTCACGTTGGGATTTAAAATAAACTAGACTTTTTAAAATACTAAAAATTATTTTATTTACTACTATTGGGTGTTAGCAACCAGTTTGCATTTTTAAATCTGTTTTGGAGTGAGTGTTTTGAAACCCGTCAGGTTAAGGTACTGGTTGTGTTGCAGTTTTGTACATTGTAATGCTGCATTGGGTCCCATCTCTGTTTCTGATCCGGTTTCCTGCTAATGGAATTTGGGAGGCTGTAAATGATGGCCCAAGTGCCTAAGCCCTTAAGTACCCACCTGGGAGACTCCCTGGGAGATTCAGGCAGAAATTCTTGCCTAGCCCTGACTATTAATGCACACTTAGAGAGTAAACAAATAGATGGAAGACTACTCTTTTTCCCTTCTTTCTACGTGAGTGTATGTGTTTCACTCTGTTGCTTTCAGAGTACTGAAAATAAGCATCTTTTTAAAAATTCCATGAAACATGCAAATGATAAGTTAAAATTGGTGGAGAAATTTGTTAAAAATTTGTCTTGGACAAAGTATCTATAAAGAAATAAAGTGGCCAATAAAGCCGGCGAATTTTGTTCATGGGTTACTTTCTCCAGATGTTGCAAAACTCTCCTTAAAGTGCGGCTTCCTCTCTTGTGTGGGGATATCTCCAGTACCCTCAACAGAACTACTGAAAACCATGGATAGCATTCAACTGTTTATACTGTTTCATTTCTATCCATCCATACATACATGGTAAGCTGTTAACAATAAAACATGAAAATTACGGTATCTTCTAAAGATGAATATGTGAATGTGAGCTTTCTCTAAAACCTTAATGTCTCATGTTGTACTAACAAGGGTTAACTATGAATGATTAAGCCATAGAAAATGAAACCATGGTTAGAAAAGACTACTATAATGTGTTTTGGGTTAAAAAATAATATTTTGTAAGCAGTGTTTTAAACTGTTAGCACTAAGTTTCAGTGAGAATATAATACTACTAGTAAAACAGAGATTAATTGTCATATACCAACCTGGCTTTCTCCCTGGGATATCCCTGGCTGGGGCAGCTTAGCTTTGGAAATCTGAATGCTTGGCTCCAAATTGTTAGTTTTCATCATTGCTTGCATTTGAGCCATTCGTAAATTCCTGTTCTCACAGCCAGTCATGGAAGCCTTGTATCACTTCTCTCTCTCTCTCATTAAAGTGGTTCTCTGAGCTCTTTCTATAAGATTTATTTATTGATTTTGGAAGACAGAGGTACAGAGAGATAGAGATCTAACATCTGCTAGTTTGTCTCCCAAATGTCTACAGTGGCTTGTGAAGTCAGGAGCTTCTTCCAGGTTTCCCGTCTGTGTGGCTGGGCCCACGAGATAGCTGGCCTATCCTATGCTGCTCTCCCAGGCCATTAGCAGTGAGCTTGATTGGATGAGGAGCAGCCTGGACACCTGCCAGCACTTGTTAGGGATGTTGCTATTGCAGTCAGCAGCTTTACCCAGCAGGCCACAACACCAGTCCTGCCTTACCATTTCCTGTCTGGACCTCTTGTGCAGCTGAGCCTCTTTACTGGAGGTGTTCACTCCAGTCTGTCACACCCACCAGGTCTTCCTGCATCTCTCATTTGTTTGTGATACTTCTTTGATCAAAACTAATACAGTGTTTCTGATAGCATAATGACCATACGAAACCTACAGGCCTTCCTTAGTTAACTCAATTTACAATGGAAATATTACTGTAAGTAATATTTCTTCTTAATTTGATCGCTTTTAAAGTGCTGACTTGTGGTCCCTAGTGTTACTTACATCTATAGGCAAAGCATGCAGACTGAAAACACCCTTTTTCTTAATCTCGTAAGAAATTTTTCTATTTTGACCCTAGGGGGTTTGAGAGAGAGAGAGAGAGAGAGAGAGAGAGAGGAGAGACAGAGAGAGAGAGAGAGGAGAGACAGAGAGAGAGAGAGAGGAGAGACAGAGAGAGAGAGAGAGGAGAGACAGAGAGAGAGAGGAGAGAGAGGGAAATATCTTCCGTCCAATGGTTCACTCCCAAAGTGGCCTCAATGGCCAGTGCTGCGCTGATCCAAAGCCAGGAGCCCAGATCCTCTTCCAGGTCTCCTACGTGGGTGCAGGGTCCCAAGACCTTGGGCTGTCTTCGACGGCTTTCTTAGGCCACAAGCAGGGAGCTGGATGGGAAGTGGGGCTGTGGGGATTAAAACTGGTGCCAGGCCGTGGCGTTGGGCCCGAAACTTATTTTTAACAAAGCTTCTTTGTGCAATGAATTGGAAATTAAGAAAAAGTTACACAAAATATTAAGTCTAGACTTTCATCAATTATGTACATTGGACATCACATGACTGTCACATTCCATAAATGTTTGTAATTATTGGCAGTAACATTTCTGCAACTGTGGCTGGTATGTTTTCTTGCTTGAGTTAATACACCTCCTATTTCCCAGAGCTGCTTTTCCAACGGGCCAAGTCTTGGTTATTTCTAGAATTAATTCTTACCCCACCTCGTAGAGGGCTTTCATTAAGAGTAGTCCCCAATGAATCTGTAGCTATTCAGCATGCAGATTAGGAAGACCCTTTTTCTTAATCTCATAAGAACATTCTTGGGCCTGGTGCAGTAGCTGAGTGGCTAAAGTCCACTCCTTGCACATACTGGGATCACATATGGGTGCTGGTTTGTATCCAGGCTATTCCGCTTCGCTTCCAGCTCCCTGCTCGTGACCTAGGAAATCAGTAGAGGACAATCCAAAGCCCTGGGACCTTCTAGACTCCTGGCTTCAGATTAGCCACAACAGCTCAGCTCCAGCTGTTGTGGTCACTTGGAGTGAACCGTTGGATCAGAAATCTTTCTCTCTGTCTCTCCTCCCTGTAAATCTGCCTTTCCAATAAAAAATAAAATAAATCTTAGAAAAATTGAACATCCTCTATTTTGACTCTGGGAGTTTGTAACTTTTCCTTCTAAGGGAGGTTTTTCAGTCTACCTTCAGAAAAATGGTCAAGTTCAAAACTGGACCAAATTAGAGTGGGCTCAAAAATAGGAAATAATCACCATTTTGAAGTTGGTTGTTTAAATGAACCACAAGTTCATGGTATCATATATTAATTTCATGTCCTTCTAAACATGCCTTTAGATTTGTCAAGTTACAACCAAAATATTTTAAAAAATCCAATGAAGTTGTAATTTTCTCAAACTATTTTTTAAGGAATAGTTGGATGGACCAGCAACATTTGGTGGGCAGAAGAAGAGAGACCACTGGTGTACTTTTGGAAAAAGTTTCCTTCGCTGTAGATTAGGGTTGGGCAGCATGGTGTGACGTTCTGCCTGTGACGTGGGTTCTCTTTCCAGTGGTGGAACACCATGATACTTGTTTTTGGTCATGGTTATAGACCATGGGCCAAGCATCAGTTGCTACGTGGTTCTGGGAAAAATAAATTGAAAAGGTCAAAATGAGGGAATTGGGGAGAAACAATCCCATCTTGTCACCTCATCTTATCCCCAAAACTCTAGCTTTCAGTGCTTTCTGTACTTTGTTAATGCCTTGTCTTTAATAGCATCTATAGTGTTGCTTCGATTTTTTTTTTCCTGAGAGCCGGATAAGGACTATTTTATCATTTAATTATCGGCAGTTCTTAGTATAAAGTATAAGGCCGGATAAGGACTATTTTATCATTTAATTATCGGCAGTTCTTAGTATAAAGTATAACTTCTTTATGAACTTTTATGAATTTGCCTCTTCTGGTATGATAAGTTCAGAGTAACAGTGACTGTACAAAGGTGGAACAGAGTAACATCCTCCCTAGTCCACTCAAATAATACTGTTCTGTTCTTCCCCACCTCTGTCTCGGAGCCATGTCTGTATGCAGAACGCTGTTGATCTGGCATAGTTGTGGGCACTGAGAAAATTAAAAACAAGAATATGCAGTAGTGTATTCCATTCTGCATCAAAACTGACTGAGAACAGTACTTTAT